CGAGCCCCATGAGGGGCCCGGCGGTGGACCTGCAAGGCCGGTGGGAGTGCAAGGAAGCCCCGCAAAGGCCCTCCCTGGCCCCAGGCAGGCAGGGGTGGGGAGAGGCAGGGAGGAAGCAACTTACCCTCCCTCTTCTCCTGCCTCCTCCTGGCTGAATGAGAGCCGGAAGCGGGGCGGCCGGAAGCAGGGGGCGGGGCTTCGTCATGTGCCCCGCCCCCCGTACCTCACCCAGGGGAACTGCAATCCCCCGCGATCCCCCCCCGAAATGACCTCTGGACAAAAAACAGGAAAATGAAGGATCCTCCTGGTTCATGGGGTCACACGAACCATGAAACTTCATGAACCTCCCTGTTTAATGAATGATGAACCTTCATAAATCTCCCTGTTTAATGAATGAAACAGTGAGGTTCGTGATGTGGTGGGGGTCTTCCCTCCCTCCTTTCTGCTGAGGGCGGCTCCCTGAGGCCAAAAGAATGGAAGGGGGGGAGACCTCTCTTTCCGGGAGATCTTCCCTCCCTCCTTTCTGCTGGCAGGGGCTCCTGGAGGCCAGCAGAATGGAAGGGGGGGGAGACTTCCCTTTCCGGGAGATTGTTCCTCCCTCCTTTCTGCTGGCAGAGACTCCACACTGCTAGGCTGAAATGGATGCAAGCCATTTGAGTGATTTTTCTCATTCCCACCCCCCGCTTCCCACCATGTACCCCATGAACGTAAGAACATAAGAGACACCAATGTTGGATCAGGCCAAAGGCCCATCCAGTTCAACACTCTGTGTCACACAGTGGCCATAAATACCAGGTGCCATCAGGAGGTCCACCAGTGGGGCCAGGACATTAGAAGCCCTCCCACTGTTGACCCCCCCCCAAGCACCAAGAAGACAGAGCATTACTTGCCCCAGAGCACCTATGTATACCTTGTGGCTAATAGCCACTGATGGACCTCTGCTCCATATGCTTATCCAATTCCCTTTTGAAGCCGTCCATGCTTGTAGCTGCCACCACTTCCTGTGGCAGTGAATTCCATGTGTTAATAACTCTTTGGGTGAAGAAGTACTTCCTTTTATCCGTTCTAACCCGACCGCTCAGCAATTTCATTGAGTGCCCACGAGTTCTTGTATTGTGAGAAAGGGAGAAAAGTACCTTTCTCAACCTGCTCTATCCCATGCATCATCTTATAAACCTCCAAAAACCATGTGGAGGGTTGTGGGAGGGTCATGGATAGGGATGGGCATGAATCTCAGTTTTTGAGCCATGAACCGGCTATGTTCATCACAAAATTAGGTTTTTGATGAGGTTCATGCCCATCCCTAGGTATAATTTTTGTGAACATGCAGTGGTAACTCTATTCTGTGTTGAAGGAACTAAAGGCAAGGAAACTGTTGATGGGACAGTGGCTGCTTCTGTCATTTAACTCTGCCTACAGGATTTAAGACTTTGTCTTACCTGGAATTGTGCTGCAGGTTTTAATTTTCAGGCTGGGTGTGCTGATGTAGCTGTTATGCTGCTTTTATTGTTTTACATTGCTATACTGTTTTCAGTGCTTTTATAGGAATGTATGAATTTATTGAGAAACGAACTCAAACAAGTTTTTGGAGATTGCAGCAGATAAATATATTAAATAAAAAAGTAAATTATGAACTAACTTCATCATCATTTAGAATCTCATCAAGACCTCCTGTCTCCTTCACTCAGAGTTAGCAGATTCTTTGAAGAATCATGAATTTTATCAGGTACCTTCACTTTTTTATTTTTACATACTTTAAGTAAAGTCATCTTCAACCAGCAATGTAAAATTGCCAACTGGCCACATTTTGTCCCAGGAACTATAAATCTGGTTTAAAATATGTATATATTATTTATGAAAAATTTTGCATACCACCTTACCCCACGCCGTTTCCAAACGGGGCCCATGTATATACATGGATAAATACAGCTGTGAGAAGACTATGGAATTTTTTTAAGTCGTGAATGGCCAAATGTTGCCAGAATTAAAGCAAGCCATGACAAAAGCCAAAACTAAATGAAGAGTCCTTGACACAGAAGGACCTTCACAGATTTCACACAAAAAATTAAGTTCCATTTTCCAACTTCCCTTCTCTGTTTACCAAAGACTTTACCAGCAAATGTTAAGAAAAGACACATTTTGGCTTAGTTTCTAGCAAGACTCCACATACGCTTACAAAAAGCATGAGACTTCCCTGGAAGAGGTTTTTTAAAATTGGCACTGAATATATAAACCTGACTGACTCTGCATCTTGAAAATCAGTTACACACCTTGCAGTGTTTCTAGTCATGTTCAGAGTGTATAATAGTGCCAAGTTTATAAATGGCAAGCAGCCAGCCCAGTCCAAGGCACAGGAAAATGTCTCTCAGGGGAGAAAAAATTACACATCTGCCAATTCCTTAGGATGCTCAGGCTCAAAGCAATTCGCTTATCTAAACTATGGTCTAATCTGTAGTAACTGCAGAGCCTTGAGTATGGTACAATTGCAAAACTCCATGCCTCAGACAGTGGAAAACCACTGTTACAGTTTAGCTAAAATGAAAAGATCAAAATCCACCAAGCATGATTACTTCTTAGCTGCCTTTGTTAGCCACTTGATGTAGAAAGAGACAGGCACCCCAACTTTATAAGAACACCCAAAGTAAATAAAAACTAGTTTGTAACTTGGGGGGGCTGAAGACAGTATGAAAAGAACTAAAATTAGATGGAGTGACTTAATAAGGAAGCCATGGCCTTCAGTTTGCAAGGCCTGACCAAAACTGTCAATGATAGGATGTGTTTGAGGTCATTCACTCAAAGGGTCATCATTAAGATGGAACCAACTTCATGGCACATAACACACACAACTTTTGGGAAGTCTGTATTTTACTTTGTGCCGCTGAACTCATATTTATTCAGGGCCCAAATCACTTCAATAAGCAAAAATGTTGTGGCCCGAGGTTCTATACATTGTGTTTTGAATTATGAAGCAGTCAAAAAGCCTGAGTTATTTGATTATCCACCTTCTTTCAACAGATGAAAGGGACCTTTGTGTTCAAACTACATCTGCAAAGGAAAGCTTTAAATATTCATTTTTAAGGTTTTGGGATACTGTGACAAGCTATTACGAGCATGTTTAAAACAATATGTCCAGTATCACACCTGTTTACTATTTTTCTTTAGAAAAATTGTGACTATATTTACTATATTTTTGTGTATGTACCATGGATAAAGTTTTTCAGGTTTGGATCCTAAGCACTACTTCTGTTTGTGCTGCATCTTCTCTGTTGTAGGGTGAGTACTCAACTCTGGAGTACATTCATCTCCTCTGCCACTAGGCACTTTGTGGCTCACTGAAAGTCACTGTGGTCTTGTGTGAGTAAAAGTGCCTAAAGACAGATAAATGCATTTAACTCCTGCAACAGAAAAGCACAACACAGAACAAATGGAACTAAGGCATGGGATGCAAGCCTCAAGTTTTTTTACTCTAACTTTTAAGCGGTGTTCTGATTTTAGAGGAAGCCAGGAACTGCTTGCTTCTGAAGCCACCATTGAAGTGAGGCTACAGACAGTTTTATCCACATAGCAATAATGATTTCTTCCTCTCAAGAAACAAACGTAAATGAGAGTTCTAGAATATCCTCAACGCTTTCATTGATCATTCTCCTCTTTGGAGGGAAAAGTGAGGAATATACTCCTGTAAATAGAAAATTAAAGCACTTGTTCCTGAATAACTCCTGCACAAGTACCCAAGGAGCAGTTTAGACAAGCAGCTCCTCCTGTAGTAAGGTAAATATCATCTAGAACTTTACCATTTAAGACTGAAAGTGGGGTGAATGAAATCCCATATCAAAAACTGCCTACACATAGAAAGCTGGATATCAAGGAAAAGAGTTCTTTCTAGCTTGTCCATCTTATTAACTGAGGCTGCAGTCACACACACAAAATAATCCACTTCCAATCCACTTTCAATGCACTTTCTAACTGGATTTTTGCTGTGTGATCTGGTAAAATCCAATTCAAAAGTGTATTGAAAGTGGATTGAAAGTGGATTATTTAGTGTGTGTGACCGCAGCCTGAGTTTCCTATGGCAGTATTTTTGTTTTTCATAGGGGAGCATTCAAACATGCAATTCTCCACCTGCATCCTCAGGTGGTTTAATCCAGAAACAGTTTCACCATGTGATGAGTTAGTCATTAAAATCAGACATCACACTTTTCATTTTTGCTCATATGACCACACATAACAGTTTTAAACTGAAAATAAAGACAAGTTCAAGATCGTAATCTCTGTTTTTCATCCGTATCATGTTTTTTGCAAATAACAAAACCACAACCTTGCTTTCTCATTCTAATCTGCATCTAAAAATGCAGGAAAAAATATGCCAAACACCAAACATCATTTATTTGCCTTAGGAACACTAAGTCTAGATCAAGTGTTTATTGTGTGCATTGGTTTACTTTGGAGAGTCCTAAAAAGTGCAAAGGTAATTCGGCCTCAATTTGCCACCCCCCAAAACACCCACATGCAGTGAAGTCACAAGCAAAGCCTTACAAGACCTTCCTTTTATAGGAGTTTGCCTAAATATGTAAGCAATTCATACAGAGAAAATCTGAGTAATTTCGAAAAGGTCATCTTTCCTGAACTGGTTTCTTTAAACTATTGCACTCACTGTAACTTTATCTGACATTTGGGTTAGTAGCCTTTGACAAATGGGTTTTCAGGTCACTACAACCATAGCTAAAATTACTTCTCTCCCTCCCTCTCTCCTTTATTTTTTCAGGGAAGATCATTTAAACATTTTGTAATAAAATAAGGAACTCTTCTCACCTTCTTCTTGTATGTGTGCAGCACCCACAGCTATACATGCTGCAAGCAAAAGGAGGAGGGTCTTCCTAAAACAAAAGGGGGAAAGAATTACATTGGCAACAAACTAAAATTCATGTGAAATACAAGAGACTTAATCTGTTATCCACAGGAAGACCCTTAGTTTTTATCAGTTTCTTATAGATTTTCCCTAGTCTGCAACTTATTTTTCCAGAAAGTCACAGAAAAAAGCAGTGGTAGATGACAGCCCAGATCCCTACCTACTCTGTCTTTTCTATCTCCACTTATGTATCTCATCCTTTTACCTCCTTCCTATCTCTCCTTTGGAAAAAGAGGTGAACAACAGACATGTAACCACTGGGCCCTTTTGCATTCAGTCTTTATTCCTGGTTTTCCCAGAACTCGAGACGGTATGCCTTTGATTCGAATCATTTCCTTTCATTCTGCATATGTAATTATTCTTTGGCACTTTGTGTCGGAAACTCAAGTCTCTGTAGATTATGCTTTCTGCATACTCGTGGAAGTGTTTTTTGAACCCTGATTGCTCTTATCCTTTGGAGAAGGAGAAGCCAAGGCGCCAGCATGATACTTCTCCCTTCCCTTCAATGCTCTGTGTTCTCTCTTCCTTTTCACAGAGCCTTGGCTGGTGGGAGGAATGCTTCCAGGAAAATCAGAATGACATTGAGTGAATGAAGCATTTCAGTGCTAACAGGGCAATGTTTGCTAACATTATGTAATGGAAATAAACCAATCAATGCTTAGTATCAAATCAAAATGCAAAATCCATGCATCCATTTTTGTTTTGAGGGAAATGTTTGTGATCAAAGTCTATTTGGCTTAGAAGTGCTTCTTGAAAAACTGTTTTTTTCAGTAGCTCTCCCACCCTCCAAACCACTGCAGACTCTAAACAAATGTAAATGTTCAACAATTGCCCATGAGGAAACTTGTTATCATGTAAACTGGCCACATAACAAAGACCAAAGAGAAAGAGGCTGAAACAGGGGAAGGCAGTGGGTGGTGCTTAAACAGTCACAGAAACATTTCTACTTTAAATAGTAGTGTCGATTTCAAAACAGAGCAGAACAAAGGTTCACAGCAAAAGCACTTTGGGGAAGTGGAGGGCAACAGCGTGCTGGAAGCAGTCTGAGTGCTGATCCCCCTAAAATAAATGCAGAACCAAGAAGTCCTGACACAAAGTCGCAGTGAAAGCAGGAGGGAATGCAGAACAGAAGACTGGGATGCGCTCAGAAACCAAGGAAAAAGACAGGGACAGAAAGGGCCATTTTTGGCTAGCAACTGTCACACACATCCATTGATCCTCCTCAGAATAACACGTGGCAGGAGGAAGAAGTGGTGGCAGAAAACAAACAAAGCTGACTGGCCCATCCACACTTTGCCCCCCCCCAACTTCCTGTCATAAGGGATGAAAAGGAGAGAAAGGAAAAAAGATGTCATTACACAAGTAAGAAACAGAGAAATCTATTTTACCTTCTTCGTCTTTCTATTCAATGTTTCTGTATCCCTATATGTCTCACTGTTTCTGCATCCCTCCAGAAGTCAAGGAAATTATGTTAGAGCAGTGGTTCTTAACTTTTTGGGGGGTCATGGACCCCTTTGAGGATCAGGTAAAAGCTATATACCCCTTCCCCAGAAAAATGCAAATACACACCAATTAATTAATTAATGGCAATTTCCTGGGGGAAAATTGAAATAAATCCAAATTGTGCAAATAAACAGAAAAGTAAACTTTAATTTTGCTCAAACAGGAAATTTCAATGAGAAGACTGCTGTTGTTTGGCTTGAATAATAAGACAAAATTGTAGAGTGGCCATTAACATGTCATCTTTGACTTCCAATTGATTTTGACTTTTATTTTGATGCCAACAAGTGCTGAAAAGTCTGACTCACAATGGTATGTAGTAGCAAATGGAATCAGAGCTCTTATAGCTTGCTTTGCCAGACAAGGATAGGCTTGCGTCAGGGAACACCAGAATTCACCATGAACTAATGTAAACAAAGACCATAAACTTACTGACTGTACATTTCTGTAATTCCTGCCAAAAGGAAACTATTATTTATTTATTATTATTTATTCTTTTCAATTTATATCCTGCCTTGCTGGGAACCTAGTTGTCATAGCATGGCAATGATGACTACTATACCTTACCAGACCATGCCCCCCTACACTTGTTTGGAGTGAAACCTTAATGTAATTTGACATAAATATAATATTTTTCACAAAGACGATCTCCGAATAACAAGAATGAAATAGAAGACAAAAATCATATTTGAACCTGGTTCACAGACCCCCTGAAGCCCATCCATGGAGTCCCAGGTCAAGACCCCATGCATTAGAACAAGGCAGAGGTATGTGGAGGAAGAAGCTTCCTAATTTTGTTTGCTTTCATGCCTCTTAAGTCAGTAAATGGTGTTCCAGGTGGCACTCCTCCATCACCTGATTTGCTAAATAGACTTCCATTTGAATTAGCTGATTCAGTGCCTTGTTCCCACAAGTAAACAAATACGAGAATTCTACATACAAGAGATACTTTCTTGATAACAGTTGTCCCAAGAGGCCTCTCACTTTTCACAAAGTAGAACTGAAAACTACCATGAGAAGAACTGCCATTTCTCAGATGTCACCATACTACTATATCTGTAATTTTAGGCACACTTACCAGGCAGAAACAACTTAAGAATGTAAGAACATGAGAAATATCCTGCCATAACAAAGTGTCCACCTATTTCAGCATCTTGTTTTTTACAACAGCCAATAAAATGTTTCTGGGAATAACATGAATTGGACTGAGTTGCAGAGCAGCAATACTACACATATTTACATCGGATTATACTCCCCTACACTCAGTGACTTCTGAATAGACATGCATGGCATCAGGTTGTCTTTCACAGCTGGAAACACCTGATTAAATGTCCCCCTCTTGCTGGAACGCTGCAGTGGTCAGAATGCATGTTTTCATCCACTGGTCTTATTTGAATGTTAACCAAAGGTTAAAGGTTCCAATAACTTTTCCCAGCATGATTTTAAAAGCCAGGACATGTATATGTCATAAGCACAAATGTTTGCTCTCATAGTCCCAAAGACTATGTCAGCGTTCATTGGCAAGATCAATCTGACTGCAGCCATTACAAAAGGACATGGAGGTGTTTCTAACACCTCAGGTACTAATTCTCATTTGGCTTCCAAATCAAAAAAGAAAAGAGATTTTAATTGGCAAAAAAATCACAAAAATATTACAAATAGGTCCCAAGTTAACATCATCAGCCAGGCTGGACTAAGGTGTTATGAAGTCACGAACCACTTCAAACAACACAGATGGACAAGATTCAGCAGACAGAATGAGAGACGGGGGTGGAGGAACCTTAGCCACCATCATTGCCACAGGTCTGAAAATGGGCTGCTTTATGGCATGACTATATTTTCCACCAATGACACTCTGGTCATCTCCCAATCCATTTCATAACCCCTAGGTCCCTGTCAAACAACAGAGCTGAGGGCCTACCAGAGCATAGAAGAGGAAACCAAGGAGCAACCCTGTTTTATGGCCCCAAATAGCTCATCATTATGTGCTGCTACAAGAGCCTCCAAAGAATTCCAGGGAAGCGGTCAAAATCCCCCAGAACAGTGTGAAAACAAATAGGAACCATTAATGTCTAAGGGCATATTATTCTAATCGCTCCACCAATCCTGCAGGGGAGAGGCAGGAAGCTCAACCATGCCTTTAAAAGACAGTGATCTGACCATAACAAGGGCTAAACCCTACAGCTCACAGTTATCAGAACTGTATTACTGGAAATAATTGTTTTATGTACCATTAGAATTTTTATTCTGTTCTGTAAGCCACCCTGAGCCGGCCTAGGCTGGGAGGGCGGGATAACAAATTAAATAAATCAAATCAAATCAATCAATAGATCATCAATAAGCCACTTGGTACAGAGAAGAAAGTCCAATGTATAGGGTTTTTTTCATATTCTGGGCCCATCACAGCCTCATGGAGACCATGAAGACCTGAGTTTGACAGGTGCAATCAGCAGGTATACTGAAATCCCAAAGAAACAGGTGGGCAGCACTATTGGTCTGAAGCAATAACAAAAAGTTAGTCCAGTGGCACCTTTAGGACCAACAAAGTTTAATTCTGGGTATAAGCTTTCATGAGGTGTGCATGGACAAGAAATTTTATAAATGAAGAAAAAGGGGAAACAAACTCAACCTGAAGTATACTGATAATGCTACAAGGGTCAAGCTACAGCAGATAAAATAATATCTTTCATGAAGCTTTCATGAAGTGTGCATGCACAAGGAAGAATGGAAGAATGGAAGAATCTAATTCCTGTTAAGTGATACAGCTTGTAACACTACCTCATGGTTAAAGCAGACCATAGAAGGAAGGGAGAATGAGGGAAGGCAGGTGTGAGCCTTTAGCATACTCTAATCTCCTAATCATATCTGTACCAGACCAAGCTATCAATTGCACGACTCTCCACATAAGCTGAGTGTCTATATGGCTCTAAAGTTTTCCAGAGAGTTTCGCTCCACAGGAGTATCCAACATTTGATGCTCTTACAAAGTTTACTGCACCAATAGGTCTGATCTCCCATGCACGATTGCCGCCTAAAGACTTCCAAAAGAAGGAGCATATTGTGAGACTGCAAGAAAAATGGCATGCAATGGGTGCGGTCAGACGGCGTGCTGGGAGTGGTTTAAATTGCTCCAGTCCTGATGCAGTCCTTTTTAACCTGGAGAATCATGATCACACACACCTCCTTGCTCAGGATCGCTGCGCAACCACATCGCTCCCCGCCATCCACACGCAGGAGTGTGCGTCAGTGTTGTTTCTCTCTCTCTCTCAGTATGGGCATGCAGACAGGCAGCCATCTGTAGAACTAAAATTTTCACACGTGCGCAGAACAGCGATTTCCACTTCAAACTGACTGCTGTAACACTTCCCTTTAAACTTTAAAGGAATACTTCCCTTTAAACGTTTACCCCGAAAATGGCCTCCGTGAGATCCTGAACTCATATAAACGCTAAAACTAGGCACCGTTTAAACATTGTTTTTAATAACAACCTCCACCTATGCGCACACTGCCAACGCTTAAAAAAATGGCGGGCGAAAAGTGGAAGCCTCGGGCAGCTTTCGAGCAGGGAGGGGGTTTAAACCGGAAGTGGCTCGACACCGCAGGAGCGATCAGACATCAGAAAAGTGCGGGTGGAACCGGAGAATCAGGAAAACACCACTTCGGGACCTGGTATCAAAATACTCCAGGTTAAAGCAGTTTTGAGATGGAAAGCGACAGCTGGGGACGGGAGGCAGATGTTGACTGTGTGATTGCGCAGATAAAATCCGTTTCTGA